CCCCACCCCCCCGTACATTGGTACTGTAAGTGTGGAACACTGTGACAAGCAAAGGGTCCTGTCACTGAATGTCCCTGGAGGCGAAACCATCACGGTAACGGGAGAGAGCTGGTCAGCCGGCTTTGGCACCGTCTTGAACCCGCAACACCCACCCCTGTCATTTCTGCAAGGGGAAATGCACCAGAGGATGAAATCTGTAGGGGGTGCTACTGAGTCAGAGCTGTGACCTTCGACTGTGACCTTCGACAGAAGCCCGCCTCAGGGCGTCGCCCAGGTGCTCTGTCAGTGTAGCCTTCCAGCGAGGTTCTTTGTCTTTCTGACAGAAAACTTCAGTGGGGGCGGGGGGGGGGAGGGAAGCGACCCACTTTAAAACTTGGCCTCATGCCTCTCGACAAACGCTGACGGCCGCCCACTCGCCTCCGTATCCTTTGCTTTTGGTCAAGCTTCCACCGTTTGCTGGTGGCTGACACTTACCCATACTTACCCGCCTTTAGATGAAAAACTTTGTGTCTTATTCCTCTTGTGGCGGAGCCCCCGTGCAGACGGCTGTGAGAGCGGCACGCCTGTGTGGCTCCTAGCGCCCGGCTCTCTAGTGACGGCCGGCGCCCCTCCTGTCCTGCCTGTTTCCGAAAGCTTTCCAATTAGTGAAAACGATCGAGACGCATCCATTTGGACTCGAGAAAGCCTTTAATGGATTCGATGCCGTAATTAAAGCGTCGCATTAAACAAAAGCTGGAAAATAGCGAGTTTCGATCCGAGTTAATCCCGAACCTTGAAGAATCATCTCCTGCTGAGTGTGTTGAGGGGTCATCGGCATTTACACACACAGCTGCACAGATCCGTCAGACACAAGTACACGGTGCATGCAACATGTGTTCTGGCACCGTGTACAGCCTGCAGTCATATGTTCAGCCTCTTATCATGTACGGTCTTGCATGTAAGTCCATGTGCATGTAATCTCTCTCCGTCTGTGTGCTGCAGTGTGGGCCTAAGGCAGCATTCCCATGCTGCTGAACACCTCTGTATAGATGGAATGAAACAGCTCCTCTTCATACACATTGGTGGTAATTAAATAATAATAAGAAGATTAGTAATAATGATGATGATTACTGTAATCTTTTGAAAGTGACTTGATTTATAATTTATACATTTAATGAGGCATGTTCTACTTGGAGCTGCTGTTATTTTTTTTCTCTGTTTCCTTTATCCATCTATTAAACTTGCATGCTAGCTGGTCATTAATTGGCACTAAGGATCGGGTTCTTGCGGGGGGGGGCTGACCATGTATGCAAGTTAAAACA